TGATCAACTGCAGCCAGGGCCCTCTGTAACCCAGAGGAGGCCCCCTGGGCGGCATGCCAGCCATGGCTACCTGTCCCAGTGAACAAGCAGTGAGTTGTTCTCCCTTTCCACTTCAGCAGCTGTTCTGCCAGCCGTGCAGACAGCCAGCCTGCTGTCGCTACTGAGGGACAAAGGCCGCCAAGGGCTTTAGAGCTGCTAGGCATGGGCCGTCTTTCCTTTTTTGTGTTTGTGGGGACAGTAATTACAGAAGAAGATGACTGTGATTCTTCCAGTCACTCCCGGGGCCCAATTCCTACAGGTCAGTGGCAAAAGGAACAGAAGATGCTGAGTGAAGTGAGGCTTTCGTGACACGAAATTGAGTCCACTTGAAAGCCTTTTATTTTAAGACTGTGCTGCCTGCTTTTCCGTCTGACAATGACCCTTCTTACATAAAACATGGCCAGCATAGATGTGGTGTCCTTGCTTGGCAAAAGGGAAAACGTACGGGCATCCAAATTAAAATGTTCTAAGCATGTCTGTGAAGGCTGAGAGCTTGGTTACCTCTGTTTTAACATTTCCTGGAATTGTGATTTTTATTTTCTTATTTCAGCATGATTTAAATCAAATAGGTTATATAGAAAGTGACCTGGAAAGCAAAAGAAAGGAGGACAAGGGTGTGGGGCACAGCTGGGGGCCTGAGCTGCTCCGGCTGGAGGAGGACAGCAAGTGCAGGCCACAGAGCAGGTGCAGGCCACAGAGCAGGTGCAGGCCACACTGCCGGCATTCCGGGGGGACTAAGTTCCTGGCTGCAGTCCATGGCTACCACATTCAAATGCCAGCCACAACGGCAACAGGGCACAGAGGACAATGAACCTTTAAAAGGCCCCTCCCAGCACCTGTTAGCCAGCAAATGACAGGAGCCTGGCCGGGGAAGAAGTTGCAGTGTCTGCCAGCACCAGGTGCCTCTGAGGGGGTACCCTCAGCCAAGCATTTCTGTGGCGAGAGCCGGCTGTCTGGTTGTAGATGGCAGGCAGCGCCTCAGCAGCTGCCACTCCCACCTCCTTCCACACTGCTATCCCCTCCTGCTGCCTAGTTCCAATCACCAGACCCCTCCTCTCCACTCCCACCACCATCCCTCTGGCTCAATTCACTCCTCCCTGCCCCGGAAGATTCTGCACTGTCCGGGTAGAGACAGTGGAGACCAGGGGAGTCCAGAAGAGGCGGGCACAGAGCTCCCCTCCACCTCTGCTCCCGACTTGCCCTGGGCTGACCACATAGGTCTGGCTCATCTTTACTCCCCGCTGTGGTCCTGGGCTCTCACTGACAGGTCTCTCTGAGTCCAGTCCAGCATCCAGGCCTCCCTGATACAGTTCCCCTTCCTCTGAGAGCCTGGCCCTGAGCACCCATGTAGATCACAGACCAGCCTTCCCAGTGGGCAAGACTTCTGGCTTCTGCCCTTGTTTCAAGGCAAAGCAATTTGGGACAAGAAAACCATTTCCAGTCCTCCTGTTCCCCCTTCCACCTTACACATACAATCCCTGGCCCTGGAACCCCCTGAACCACTCCTCAACTTCCCCACCAACCAGGCTCACCTCCTCCCTATGGAAGAGAAGATCTGGCCAGGTGCAGTGACTCATGCCTGTAATCCCAGCACTTTGGGAGGCCGAGGCGGGCGGATCACCTGAGGTTGGGAGTTCGAGATCAGCCTGACCAACATGGAGAAACCCCATCTCTACTAAAAATACAAAAAATTAGCCGGGCGTGGTGGCATATGCCTGTAATCCCAGCTACTATGGAGCCTGAGGCAGGAGAATCGCTTGAATCTGGGAGGCAGAGGTTGCGGTGAGCCGAGATCGTGCCATTGCACTCCAACCTGGGCAACAAGAGTGGAAAAAAAAGGAGAGAGAGAGAGAGAGAGAGAGAGAGAAGCTCCACAGGAACAAAGATCTTCTTAGCTATGGTTTTCAGGCCAAACAGGTGCCCAAAATGGGCACTGGCCAATATCCCAATTGCCTGGGGCTGTGAGTGTAATGCAGAGGGGCAGACCCCTCTGGGTGCCTGCTGCTGCAGGGCTGCTCTGGAGGTTCTCTATGGCTACCATCACCTATGCTGTCCACTACCCCAGGCCTATGTGCCACATGCCACTGCTGGAGACACAAGGGCCCTGTGAGACACAAGGGTCTCAGAATCTTTTGGGTCATAGAGTCCTTTGGAGTCTCTTGAAAGCTTAGTGCACTCTCCCCAGAAAATGCATGTATGTGCATGTTGCTGCAATCTGCATGCACGTGCACACACACACACAATTTGCATACTACTGCAGGGGGATGAGACAGTTCTTGTCCACGTGCTCCCAGATCCCCAGATCCCAGGTTTAGAGTCTTTGCTGAAACCTGTCACAGCAAGAAAGAGGAGGCAAAGAAGCGGCATCGTAGAGCCTTGCATGTGAATTTTGCTGTGACATTAACTTGGCCTGTGATCCTAGTGTGTTGGGCCATCTCTTGGGCCTCAGTTTAGCCAGAGCTGTTGTGGCAGCTGATATAGAGTCTTCAGGGCTCTTCCCAGCTCTGCAGCTATGGGGCTCAATGACATCCCACTCCTGCTTCCCAAGGCCAGGCAGGGCAAAGGGAGCGGGTTCTGGGCCTCTTCCTCCACAGTATATCCTAGGGAAGAAGGTGGGACAGCCAGAAAAGGAGACCCTGGGCACAAGTTTCTCTTTAACAAAAATAAAAAAACTGTAGAAGCTTTAGGAAGTGTAGCCACTTTCTATTTGATTTTCTTTATTTTAAAACAGTTTTCCCAAAGGTCCTCTGAAAGAGAATAACCACCTGGCCTTTGCAAGGCTCTGGGTTGAAAGCTCTGCTCTGTGACTGCCTGGCTTTGTGACCTTAGGCAAGTCCAGTTCCCTCTCTGAACCTTGGGCACCTCATCAATTAAATAACTAAAATTCTCGATGACTTCTGTGAAGACGAATGAGGAGACATGTAAGATGGGCCTTGTGTGGGGCTCACCCATAATGAAAAGAGGCTCCCATTACTGTTCGTACTGACACTGGGAGTCAGGGACTCTGGAGAGACCGTGGGGCCCCAGACATGGGAATGTGAGGCCTCCCTGTAGGAGTGGCCATGAGTGAGGAGAGAGTCTGAGCTGACCACTGAAACCAGGCCCCAGACCCCAGGGGCCCAGGGCAGAGGCTTTCTGGCAGTCCTTCTAGTTAGGGTCTCCCCTTTGAGGCTTTGCACTTCCAGAATCTGAACTCTGACACACACCCAAGTTTCGTTCATGTTCTTTGTTATCTGTCATGGTCCACTTGGTCCTGACCCAGGGTGACCCTGGACATTGATTCTGTTCTCGACCTCCAGGCCACCCACTGGAGCTTCATGGTGGAAATACAGCCCCATCTCCTGAGTTTCAGATAGACACTTTAATCTGTGGCATCAACATTTTTATTGTCAAATCACCAGCGCTACACATAGAAAGAATTATGGCTAGAACTAATGACAACAGCCTTCCCATACACTGACAAAGTGCTGAAACAGCCCATGACAATTTCTGGGAGCATTTTTTTTAACCTAAGTTTAATGAGTTTCATCTCTTCTCTTCTCTCCTTTCCTCTTTCTCCTCTGACCCTCTCCCTCCTGTCTTCTCCCCTAACCTGCTGTCCTGGCAGCAGTAGCTAAGGAACCACACAGAGGAACAGAAGGCAGGAAGGTCTACATTTACCTGTTACTTCACCAATTCATTTCTAACTTTTTTTTAAAAAAATGGATTTTGGCAACAAATCCTCATTGACACCTTAGTACTGTAGGCAGTTAAACTACAGCAAAGCCAGCGAGGGGCTCTTCTGTGAGTGCACAGCATAGCTTTGTAGTCTAACCTGCTTGGGTTCAAATTCCAGAAGCCCAGCCCTTATTTGCTGTGCGACTTTATTTAATTCCTCTGTGAAATGGGGCTCCTGAAGCTCTCCTTACTGTGTTTTAAGAAAGTGCTGGCCCTGGCCTGGGCACTGACTCTGGTGTGAGAGGAGGCCTCCCTCCCTCCGCTGTGCCAGGTTAATGAAAACACTGAGGCATCTTTTGGAAGTGGGAAGTGCAGGACGGGTCTGGAGTCAGGAGCCCAGAAGAGCAGGGCAGCAGGCAGGATGAGCTCGGGAGACTAGGGGTGAAGAATAAGAGACCCAGCGGCACAGCAAGCCCGGGGTTCAAATCCTGACTACATCACCAACTCATCCGGTAAAGGTGGACAATTTTGTAACTCTTTAAGCCTCAGTTTTCTCATCTGACAACAGGATAACGAAAGTAGGACTCTCACTTGCTGTGAGGAGTAAGAGGCATACTGTGTTAAAGCACTTGGCCCAGAGCAAGGCAAGCCCTCTACAGACAGCGATTGTGAGACAGACCCCTGCTGCTATTACCTAGGCATTCGATTTCCATCAGTGAAATCGGAGTTGTGCCAGAGGCCTCTAGGCTCTCTCCCCAACTCTAGGATCAGTACTTCTAGGAAACTGGCTAAGGACAAGGTGAACAAAAAAGGTGTAGCCAGTGGTCGCGCTCACCTGTCGTGCTCAGGTTGTAGCCCCTAAAGTGCTTAACAGAGGTGCCAGGCGCAGTGCCCACTCTCAGTAATGAGCCCGAGGCCCGCAATGCGCCAGGCTGGCAGGGGGAGGGACCCTGTGTGCTGCGGCCGAAGGGCACAAGTGCCCAGGCTTCAGCGTCCCTGCCTGGTGGCAGTCCTGGGTCGGAGGGGATGGTCCATGGACGCCCAAGCACTCTCCTGCTCGTTCGTCACTCACCGTTCAGTCATCGCGCAGTCCAGAAGCCACTGCATGTGTCGTGCCCTCGCTTGCACCGGAGCTGCCCCCGCAGCGCCTGCCGACCCCCGGCTTCAGCTCCTGGGGACTAGGCCCGCCCAGCGCCCCGCCCCTCGACCCTCGCCCCGCCCCGCTCCCCGCCTCTTGCCCTGCACGGCCAATGGTGCCGCCCCGGCTTCTCCGTCCCGCCCCGGGCACGCCCCTCACTCCTCACCGGCCAATGGCACCGCCCCGTACGCCCCGCCTCGCCCCGCCCCGGGAACACCGGTAGGGTCTGGGAGCCGGGCGGTGCCGGAGGGGCTGCGGGGAAGGTTAGGGGCCTGTGACCTGCCAGGTGTCCCCAGGCCATTGCTCAGCGCGCGGCGCGTTCCTGAGTTCCCGAGGGCGCCCCGGGACGCGCGGAGAAAGCAGTCCGACTCAGCCCCGAGGGGTTCGGTGTGCGGGCGGCGGCCAGGGACTTTGCGGGGTAACGCGGACTCCTGGACTTCCAACAAAGGCCGCTGCGCAGGCGCTGCAATCACTGCAGTCACTTGTCTGCATGCCTGGTGGGGCTTGGAGTCTGGGGAGGCTTATCAGTAAAGCCCCGAGCATTTGCTATTTATTGCTCTAGGGGCACCTTTGTACAGTCTGGCTGTTTGCTTGGCATGGCCACTTAGAACTTCTTATCGTTTAAGAAATCCGATTTGGTGAATAAGAAGAAGTTAGTCTTTCTCTCCCAGTCACTGCCTCCTGGACGAAGGTTTGCCAGCACGGAGGCAGAGAGGACAGAAAACCACAGGCCATTTGGGGAACTGGAAACAGTTCAGTGTTTCTGGGGCGTGGGGGTGGCAAGGCAGGGCATGGGGTTGATGGAAAACATTTGTAATTTCTGCTTTATCTCACCATTCCCAGCTCTGACCCCTGGACCTGTTCTCTCCCACTCCTAACATAAATCACTTCAGTTTCATTCAACATGCGTTTCCTAATATTTTTAGGGTTTCATGGCCATTTTAGAATCTGATATGTATCTTCTAGAAAACGCAGGTGGCCACATGCACCTAAATCAGCCTGGAATTTGAGTCTCATGGGTCCCTGAACCCCGACTTAGAGGGCCTTTGCTAATGCTTACATGGCTGCTGTACGACTTATGTTGCAACCTCCACCTGCAAAAAGTGACAGGACTGAAGATACCCGGTTCAGGGGCCCTCCCATTTCTGCGTTTGCTTGAATTTTTGGAGAATGGCCCATGCTTGGACAGCTCTGAGGGTCCCTGTGGTTGATGACTTGTCATGACACATTTGCTGTTCCACAGCCCTCATCAAAGCTGAGACAAATAATTGGGTGCTTCCAAAGGTTTTTTAAAACAGTGGGTAAAATTCAATATAGCTGTCAACCTCTGAGCATGAGATCCTAAGAATTTAATCACTCCTGATAGGAGAAGTAAACATAGCACAGGGTGATATAACAGTTTCCCTGGGCTCTCCGGAACTCGAGTGTGAATCATTCTCTCTGACCTAGTTAATGCTGTTCACAGGGCCATAAGTGGCTCTGAGTGAGGACTGGGTTTGGGACAGCAAGCCCATGTGTCCTGTACCCCTATTGCGGCTCAGACACTATGCTAGTGCTTTACATTGGGGATCCCATGCAATTCCTTCAGCACTCCTGGGCAGTTGGTGTTACTCCTTGCATTTCTTTAAATTTCCATTTTTATTTTAGATTTAGGAGATACATGTGCAGGTTTGTTACAATTGTATATTGTGTGGTACTGAGGTTTGGGCTTCTATTGATCCTGTCACCCAGATAGTGAGCGTAGTACCCAGTAGGAAGTTTTTCACCCCTTGCCGTGCTGTCTCCCTTCCACTTTTGGAGTCCCCAGTGTCTATTGTTTTTTTCTTTATGTCTCGGTGAACCCGATATTTAGCTCTTGCTTGTAAGTGAGAACATGTGGTGTTTGATTTTCTATTTCTGCATTAGTTCGCTTAGGATAATGGTGTCCAGCTGCATCCATGTTATTTTCTTTCATGGCTGCGAGTGCTAGAATTTTACATCGGACACAAGTGTCCATTGTCAGCATCCTCAGTTCCCTCAGAAGGAGGGTTCACCTTTTCTTTCAGGGTTCAATAGAACTGGGTGTGTTCTCCAGCTCACTTATGGTGGAGGCTGCCGATCGTGTCGGTTGCCAGCCAATATCCACTTCCTTCTTTGCAAAAAAGAAAGAGAGATAGGAAAGAAGGAAAAGGACAAGAAGGAAGGAAGGAAGGGAGGGAGGAAGGGAGGGAGGGAGGGAAAGAGCGAGGAGGGAGAGAGGGAGGAAGGAAGGAAGGAGGGAGGGAGGAAAGCGAGGAGGGAGACAGGGAGGAAGGAAGGAAGGAGGGAGGGAGGAAAGAGGGAAAGGGGAAGAGAGGAAAGAGAGAAGGAGGGAGGGAGGGAGGGAAAGAGGGAGGGAAAGGAGAGAGAAAAACCAACTTGTCTGTAGCAGCAACATGCCAGCCCCTAGTTATGGCTCATGCCCACTTGTATTTTTCATACTCTACTTACAACCCAACAGTGGGTCATGAAATTAACTTAGTTGATGATGTGACTAGTACTTAAACAAATGCAAGGGAAAATATCAGTGTACAGCACAAACAGTAAATATAAGTTGTGTTTTGTGGAACTTTTTGTTTGCATTCTTACTGTGGGTTACAGTTAAAAAAAAAAAAAAACAGCTGTCTAAGTCTTGACAATCCTTTTCATAGCTTTTTTCAGTGAAGCTAGAGGTGACCATGAGACCTACTTCTGGACACAGAGACAGGGGAAAGTGTGCTGGGGGAGGAGAGGTCTGAGGGATGGTGAAGATAACTTTTGCTTTCCTGGTAGAAAGAACAGATGTCTCTCCTGCCTGCCTGTCTCAAATGAGTACATGATGTGTAATATCTGGAGCATTGGCAGCCACGTTGAGATCATAATGCAACATGTCCACATGCTGAGGCTGGCAGAGCATAAAGATCAAAGGTGTCTGGATCCTTCTTAACATCATGGAGCTTCTGCACCATCCCTGCACTGCCTACTCCAGACTCCCTGCCATGGAGAAAAATTAGCTCCTATTTCTTCAAGGCAGAGGTTGGTAAACCTTTTCTGTACAGTGCTGGATAGTAAATATTTTAGGCTTTGTGGGCTAAATGGTCCGTGTCACAACTACTCACCACTATTGGGGTAGTTTGAAAGTAGCCATAGACAATATGTAAACGAAAGGACATGGTTGTGGTTCTCATAAAACTATTCTAAAAAATGGATGGCAGGGCTATATATAGTGTGCCAACCCCTTTCCTAGATGATCTTGTCCCCTAATTGTCTCTCTGACCTCGTCTCCTCCTACTGCCTCTCCTTCTTCCTGCTCTGATCACACTGTTTCTCCCACACACCCAGCCTGTTCCTGTCAGGGTCATGCCTTCCCATGGAGGGCTCTTTCCCCAGATGTCCGCAGCGCTCCCTCCTTCCCCTTCTTCCCCTCCTTCAGGTCTTTAATCACAAATCACCTCCTTTTTAAGGCCTTCCCTGGGCCCTCTGTAAAATGCCCCTCCTGACCCACGCGTACCACTCTGGCGTGCTGTATATTCCAGCTCTTTATCATGAGCTCCTAGAGGAAGGGACACTATGCTTCCTTAAACGCTGATTCTGTCTGAATTGTTACAGTGTTTAATCAATATTTGATATATGATTGATTTTTTTTTTCTTTTTGCCAGATTCAGGTAAGAAAACAGACTCAGGGAGGCCGAGATCCCCCTCCAAATGACACGTACAGATAGCAGTAGAGTCCAGGTTTGTGCCTGGTGGCCCCATGTGGTGGTGTCTGTACCACCCGGGAGTGAGGGAAAACAACATCTGCCTCTAATGGAACACACTGGGTCTCAGGGGAGCCAAGGCCACACAGAAGTTCCTGCAAGACTTCTTGCTCCAGGGCGCCACCCCAGTAAAGGAGGCCTTTGGGAGTCCATTAAGTGAGCAGGGCGTCCTGTTCATCGTGGGCAATTGCATTCTTTTTGGCCTTCCTACCTCAGAAAGACTTAGGAAATGCTGTTATTCTGCAAACAGTTCGGACTGGCTTGTAAGATCCATAAAAAGACAAATGGAAACACTCACGAGCCAATGTTTTTATGAAAGAGCCACAAAGGACAAATTTATGTTTGATTTGCAAGTAGGGAAGCTCATAAGAACCTAAAAGCCTGATAAAGCCTACCCGGCCCGTCTGTCAGGCAGGCTGTTCTGTGTGGTTTTGGCTTGAGGCATCTTGGCACCAGGCCTCAGCTTCCAAAAGACCGAAAAATTACCTTCTTCCCTTTGGTGCTCCCAGGGTGAAAAGGCTGGGTACAATCACGTGTTGTTGAGATGTAATTTAGATTTTTGAGGCCTGAAAAATAGGTTTATATATCTTGATGTAAATGATATTAATAATGAGAACCATTTTCAAACCATTCTCTTAAGACAGTAAATGGGATTTTGAATTAATTTCTAATTGATCTGATTGATTCCTTAAGGTCTTTTATGGATGACTTTATGTGATTTTTTTCCCCTTCATTGTATCCAAC